ATTCATTCTTCTCTATTTGGGGGAGGGGTCTTTTTGAGATAGGGTCTCCCTGTAGCCCCAGCTGGCCTGAAACTGACTGTGTAGACCAGGCTGGCCTTGAACTCACAGAGATCTGTCTGCCTCTGCCTCCTGAGTCCTTCTTTTTTTTTAAATTTTATGTGTATGAGTGCATTGCTTGCATATAGGTAAGTGGACCTGTGTCGTGCAATGCCTGCAGAGGTCAGAAGAGGCTGTTGGATCCCCAGGGACTGGAGTTAGTTGTTAGCTGCCATGTGGTGCTGGGATTCGAACCTGGGTCTTCTGCAAGAACAGTTGGTGTTCTTAACTGCTGAGCCATCTCTCCAGCCCCTAGAAGACTTGATTTTATCCTAACAGCTTACTAGTTCTTTGAATTTTCTGAGTCCTTGGCATTGTATTAAATGCGTCCTGCTGTAGATTAAGACACAGGTGATGAAATTTACTAAAGCTTTAGCGTTTATAAGGGCTGATTTGGGATTGAAATTCCCAGTGTTGTAAATTACTAGGACCTTTGCTAGCCTGACAGCTACTCAGTGCTTATATTTCCCTCTTAGCAATGTTTCTTCTTCCTTGAACCCAGCACCCTTGCTCTAATTTTCCCTTCTGCAAATCACTGTCTTTACTGAAGGTTGTGTTGTTGGGAGACATGGAGGAATTAGGGGAAAGGGTACACAGAGGTGAGGATATGGGAGTGGAGACCCACTTCAAAACTGAATATCAGGTAGCATGTCTGTTGTTAAAATTGCCTTGACATTTAATTCTAAAAACTCTGTGGTGGCGGCCTTTGTCATAAAGGCCTGGAGCGTCCCACAGACCACAACAGCACTCTTAAAAGTCAGTTTGGATAGTAAATAACTTAAATCTGACACCCAGATTAATGCTTTTGATTGTTGTTCATCTGTCAGAAAAATAGTAGTTATAGCCATTTGACCTGCTTCCCTGGGATTAATAAAAGTGATGGAAGCTAAAATTCATATACTGTGCCTGAACAAGGTATTCTTACTGTTGATGTTGGAATTTTCAAAAATATTTTATTACTTTATTTTGTGTGTATGAGTATATAGCCTGCATGTTTGAAAGTGCACCTGTCTCATGTAATGTTTGTGGAGGTCAGAAGAGGGCGTCAGATTCCCCTGGAACTGGAGTTATGAGATGGTTGTTTGCCGCTATATGGGATCTGGGAGTTGAACTCAGGACTTCTGCAAGAGCAACCAGTGGTCTTAACCATTGAGCCACCTCTCCGGCCCAATGCTGGGATCTTAAATATATTTTATTTATTATTTTTATTTTATGTGTAGGAGTGTATTGTCTGCATGTATGTGAGTGCGCCCATGTCGTGCAGTGCCCCTGAGGTCAGAAGAGAGCTTCAGATTCCCCTGGAACTGGAGTTAAGGGTGGTTTGTAGCCGCCATGTGGGTGCTGAGAATCGAACCCGGGTCCTCTGGAAGAGCAGTCAATGCTCTTAATCGCTGAACCATCTCTCCAGTCCCCCAATGCTGGGATTTTTTTTAAAAAAAATAGAAACAGACTGTGAGCAGCTATTAGAATCTACTCAGAAATAACTTGGCTTTTCCAGTTAAGAAGCAAGCAAAAAGTATTTGATTCTGACAGTAAATGTCTGATTTAAGAAATAACCTGAGGTGCTCTTATGTCTTTTGCTTCAATTAATCCTTTATATTGAAATTTTGCCCAAGATTAATCACACTTTCTTAACCAGAAACTGTAGCAATGCTTGGTTCTTCAGAGTAAGTTAAGAGTAACTTTGTTTTAGATTGGCAACTAAGTTTTGGCATATTGAACAATAATGAATGCATTGGCAAGCACATGATTTTTAAAACATTACTTTGGAGCTGGGTATGGTGGTACATTCCCAGTACTCAGGAGGCAGAGACAGGTGGATCTTCGAGAGATCGAGGCCAGGCTGGTCTACATAGCAAGTTCTAGGCCAGCAGGAGCTACAGAGCGACCCCATCTCAGAAAACCAAAAACAATAACAACAAACAAACCACCTACATTAGGCTTGTGTAGTGTACACCTATAATCTATCATTCATTAAACTAGGAGTGGTGCACACTTACAATCAAGCACTCATTAATATATATAAATGCTTTGCAATATGATTCTCATTTCTCCATAATTTTAGGAAACAGATATTGATGACCGATACGGAGACCTGGACTCCAGAGGAGATTCTGATGTTGCAGAGATTCCACCATCCTTAGATAGAACCCCCGAGATTCTCAAGAAAGCACTGTCTGGATTATCTTCAAGGTATGATCCGATGAAGACATGGACCCAACAAGGTTTGAGGTTATCTTTGTCCTTGTACTGTGTTTGGATTTTTGTAAGTTTGGAATCTGTGAAAGAGAAGGCCTGTGCTTTTTAACCTCCTAATGTGTGAGGTATGGTCATAAGTGATTGATGCAGTGCCTTTAATTCTTAAAGCCTTGTGCAGTGTGAGAAAACTAAGTCTGAGTGGTTAACTGGTGAAGGTTACAGAACCAGGAAATTGTCCACTCCCCAAGACAAAGAGCAACTTATCAACTCAGGTTCCTTTCTGCTATTGGAACATCTCATAAAGAAAATTACATTATTATGTGTTCTCCAAATGCCAGAAAGAAATAAGTAATTTTTATTCTTGTGTGTGTGTGTGTGTGTGTATGGGGGGGGGTGTACATGTACAGATGGGTGCACATGCATGTGTGTGTGCAAATTAGAGGCCCACAGTGCCACCTGTCTTCCTTAATTGCTCTCCACCTTAGTTTTTTGAGACAGGTTCTCTCACTGAGCCTGGAGCTCACTAATTCTGGATGGCTGGCCTGTCTCTGCACTAGCACTGGGATTATGGAAGTGTGCTCCTGTGCCTGGCTTTTGCGTGGGTGTTAGTGATCCAAATACAGGTCCTCATTCTTGTGCAGCAGGAACTTTACCACTTAAACCATCTCCCAAGACTCTGCATTTTTTTTCTTTATTTGAGTTTAAAATTACTGTCAAACTCCACAGCACTTTACCATTTTATATTTGTGCTATTTTAAGATGTTTTATGACCATGGAATTTCAGCTAATTCTATATTGCCATCCATTCTATACTATGGTAATCTGAATTATATTTATGAAAGTGGAGGAAATGTTTTATCCAGATTACTATGTGAAATAGCACATATTAGCACGAAACAGTATGTTTCCTCAACAATTTTTTACTATGCTACACAGAAAGAAACATTTTATACCATATCCAAGAGGCACAGAGTGTAGTTTGCCTCCTGCAAGGATGCTATGAAGGATTTTTGCTGTTACTGTGTATGAAACTCTGATTTCTTTTTGCTTGATGCTGTTCTATGATACTGAGCAAGAAATGATGGATATAATTTCGCAAATTGATTTTACTACTGACAAGTTATAGCCTGCAGTTCCAGGTCTAGTCATGTTGTAAATGTAATACAGGTTTTTCTCTTTTTGAGCAATAACCATTCTGAGGATATAAAGGGGGACTCAAACTCGGCTCAGTTTCTTCTACCTTACACTCAGTGTAGATTACTTCTATGATCCCTCCATGTGTGGGATTCACCCCCTCTGCCCCCAGCAGTTCTGTAGTGAACACCAGCTGAATGTTGACTTTGTGCTGTCTTCCGTAAAACCACTCCCACTTCAGACATTAATCACAAGTCTGGATATTCTGAACTCCAGACGAACCTTGTGTTCTCTTTAGGCTCAGTTAATTTGCTAGAGTAGCGTACAGGCCTCGGGGAACCGCTTACATTGCTGGTTTATTACAAAGAATATCTTTTGTTTTTGAGACAAGGTCTCCGTGTAGCCCTAGCTATCTGAAACTCTCTATGTAGACCAGGCTGAACTTGATCTCACAGAGATCTGCCTCCTCAGTACTGAGACTAAAGGCATATGCCACCACACCCAACGTATAAAGAATATCTTAGCAGACTTTGGAAAAGCAACCAGATGAAGACATGCAGAAGTGAGGTCTCAAGTCCCAAGCAATTCTGTCCCTGTGGTGTTGGGGTTGCCTCCCTCCTGTTAACTGTCTGAATCCTCCATGTTTAACTGTCTGAAAACTCTCTGTACTTCATCCTTTAGGGTTTTAGGAGACATTATTTTGCATGTCAGACCCATGGGCAACTGTGTAGAACTGTGAATGGACAAATACGGCCTGATCTAACACTCAGGCTAAGCCAGGAATCGCAGCAAGGCTTGTCTGTTCAGAATCTTGGGCTCTGGACAGCATTCCTTCCTCCTGGGTATGGGATAGAAACCTCCTAAAATGGAGTTCTGACCTACTACCAGGCAAGATAGGTCAGAGTGTTTCTTTATGGCCAGTTCTAAGACAGAAAGGTAAAGAAAGATTAGAGTGTATTTTTAGTTTCTGTGACATGCCTGGGGGAAGAGAAATTCTAGTTTCTATGGCCTTGGAGAGAAAACAGGAGTAGGTGAAAGGAGGGCAGGGGAAGGTCAGAGAAAGAAAGACTTTGCTTTCTGAAGTCTGCTTCTGAGACCTAACTTGCCCCAACTTTAAAAGCAATGGGAGTTAGCCTGGAGCAGTGCATCACAATACATACAATACATATCACAATACATCACAATATCATAACCATACTAGAATGAATTGATTCAAGGCAAAGGCTTCATATTTTTTTAGCCAGTGCAACAAAACTGTCTTACTGGAAGCATCATTATTATTTTAATAGTTCCTGGTCCCAGTTGTTCCCATGACCTAGTTCACAGATGTACCTTTGCTTTCAGATCTCATCAGATCTGTCTCAGACCTGGTATTTTTTTTATTTATTTAAAATTTTAGTTTAATAAAATATTAGTAATTCACTGGACTTCCATGTAATCATCTTATTAATCAAAATATACTTCATTTCAAATATTCAGCATTGGCTGTTTTGAATTAGCAGGGGACTGAAGTGCAGCACTGTTACTTTATACTGAAATTCATTCTTACTGCACTCAATAAATAAACCAAATCAACCTTTTGATGTCATTCATGAATATTGCATGAGGCATTATTCATTCACAGTGCAACTAATATTAATGATGCCTTGATAATGTACTGTGGATTCATCAGCTCTCATGCAGCAACTATTGAGACAAATTATCACATAATCCTTAAAAAGCAAGACATTGAATTTATTTTCATATTAAACTAACAAATAGTGTACAGTCTTCAAAAAGGCACAGTACTAGGAATACAACTACATTTCCTGTAGATATGATACTATCTACACATGTATCAATATGCATTTTTGTGTATTCATATTTTTGTGTAAATACAATAATTTATAACCATAATATCTTTTTTGCCTGCGTCTGCCTCCCAAGTACTGGGACTAAAGGCAACAGTGTCTTCAATTTTTATCATTATTTACAATTTTCAAAGACTAGGCTAAAATGTAATAGGATAGTAAAATGTTAAAATCACAAATCTAGGGAGGTAAGTTTTAATTTTCCTCTTATGGTTTTTACTACATTAACTAATACCGAAACTATCTAACCATTCTTTGTATTGTGTTACTCAGCACTAAATTAATATACTTTGCAGATTATTCTCACCTGTGAGTCATTGGAAATGATTGCTTTCAGATACTCAGGATTCTCCTTTTCTTTTCCTATAGTAGAAATATGCCAAACATACGTAACACTAAAATGCATTCTTACTCATCAAAAAAAAATACATCTACTGTGATGAATTTTCCTTGTCCATGAATTATTCATGGAACAATTGGCATTAATGAAGCATTGCTAATGCATTGAACAAAAATACATCCCTTCAACGCTGAGTTAACAATTGCTATAAATTTTCATAATATCCTTTATAAATTAGAAAATATGAATTGGGGGGGCGGTTTGAGACAGGGTCTTTCTGTAGCCCCAGGTGACCTCAAACTCACAAGGTACACCAGCCTGGTATTGAATTCACAGAGATCTGCCTGCCTCTGCCTCAGAGTACTGGGATTATAGGCATGAGTCACCACGCTTAGTGAAAATATGAATTTAGTTGAAGGTCAAACTAGTCTATGATACCAATGTAGACAACACAAATGTTTCTAAAGAAAACAGTTATTTATTATGTACCATTTGATGAAAGTATAGAAATAATTGACATAAATTTTTAAAACTTTTTCTATCATATTCTACCTTGTCACATAATAGGGACTGTACTGTGTCCTGGCCTTTTTATTATGGAATTTCCACCTTTAAAAAGATATTTGCATAAATCTTTTCCCCCTTCATTTGCAAAGTAAGATACAAAGACTTCATACACTTTAGGATTTTCCAAGTTGTGCATATATATATATATATATATAAAACCATTTTCATATATTCACAGGATATTTAGAGAATATGTGACAACTCAATGATACTTAGGTCCTTTTTCTAGTTATTTCTCCATTGATGTGACAAAACACTCTGACCAATACCAAAATGGGGATAAAAGGGTTTATTTGGCTTAGATCTCCCAGGGTTCATCAGGGAGGCCAAGGTAGGAACTCAGTCAGCGAAGGAACCTGTAGGCAGAGGCTGGAGCACTGGCCTTGGAGGAATGCTGTTTAGTAGGTTGCTCCCTTGGCCCCTGCCGCCGACGCTGCTTTCTTATACAATACAGGACCACCTGCCCAGGAATGGCTCCACCCACAGTGGGCTGGGCCCTCCCACATTACGCAACAATCAAGAAAATTACTCCACAGATATGGCCACAGGCGTCAAATGCAGGTAATTCCCCAATTGAGGCTCCCTATTCTCGGTGTGTCAGGTTGACACTAAAGCTCACCAGCACATTGCTTTATTCACAGTGTATTCTTTGACAGTGAAAAATGAGGTATTAATCCTTGAGTGTTGTGAGGTTCCTGTTCACTAAGAAATCTCTGATGTTTCCTAAGACAGGAACCATTTGTAAATGGCGGCTGACATGTTTTGTTCATCTGTAGGCCTTCTTTACAATAAAGATTCTGTGATATTCAACAAGATTGGATGGGAAAGTAAAGGCTTTCTCACAATAATTATATTTCTACTTTATCACACTTATGAATTAAAAATAAATTTTTATTAGATATTTTACAATTTTGTGCTTAATTCTAACTGTCCTTCAGTACATTATGAAATTTTGCAATATATAAATATAAGCATTTGAGCATTTTCCAGACTTTTAGATATATCTCTCTAGTACGGATTCTGCTTTACTTTCTAAGAATGGAGCCAAGGGTAAAGGATGTACCACATTCTGTGCAATTGTAAACTACCTCTTTAGTATGAGT